TCTGATAGTGTGCTGCTTCTAACTCGCGACCCAAGCATGCCAACAACTGGTTAAATTATTCGCGACCCGGGGAAATTGAAATCAAACTCGGAGGTGCAAAAAATTGTCTTCCTTGCTGTCATGTTACACAAAATATGTTGGTAGAGGCAACCTTGGAATCACCTGTTGGCTTTGTTTGTCGAGACTCTCCGAATATGTTAGAAGGCCCAGGAAATCCTTGCACCGAAAACGAAAGCAGCTGAGTTTAGGAGAGAGACGCGTTGCTGACTCATTTCCGTAAGCAACACCGAGCGGCTCAGATTTGAAGAGGGAATCGATTCGAACCACTACGAACCGCTGCATACTCCGGTTAATTGCCAATCTAAACGAAACCGTCCGCGTTGCGTTTGCCCCAACGTGTTGTGTGGCAGCACTGCACAGGTTCCGGGCAGCACGTGGACCCTGAGACGGGCTTCACCCCGTTGGCATTTGGGAACACGTCCTCAACGGTGGAGTACTTGGGCATCTACGGCAACGCCGACCCGTTGGACGTGTCCCAATGGGTCGAACTACCGTTAGCTTCCAGCGCAGACACGGCGTCGTGGGACGACGAGAGGTGAGAGTGTGCGAGCGCAGTACGACCACCACCGTGGGGTGATCGAAACGTTTCTGAGTCTTCGTCCGCCTTTTTCCCGACGAGTTTTTCTCTTCTCCGTCTTGCCTATCTTGACCGTATTTTTCCTCCTGCTGGTGAGAGGCGAGGAACTTCCTGTTTACCGCTTTCTCATTTGGAACGCTCTCTGCCCTTCCTCAAGTTGAGTGTAGAAGAGCCAAAATGCTATATAGTAGAAGCTGTTCGCATGTCTGTTCGTGCTTCTCTTGTGTAATGTTATCTCCTCCGTCCCTCCGAACCTAATTTCTGCGGACCGTCCGCCCCCCCGTCCCCCTTCCTTACCCTTGCTCCCCCCCCCCTCAACGAAAGTGGGGTGTGCTCCAGCGTGGTGTCAACCTTGGAGTACAGAGTGTTGTATACCGCCGTGGGATCTAAGGCAAACCCGCAGGTGACAGACGGGGGTCGGTAGGGAAGATGGCGGCGGTGCTGTCACACGGTGCGGTTTCGCCAGGAAAGGCGTGTCTTGGTGGGAGGGTTTCAGGTCCTTTCCCCGCTCCTGCCACCCGTTTCTGTCGTTTTTCCACATGTCCTCGCTCGGTACAGCGTATCGTATAGTATGTCTTGTGTTGAGTGCGTTGTTGGTCGGTCTGCCGCTCAACGTCAACGCTATCTCGGTTTCCACTCCCCGTGCGTCTGATACTCTCGCGCGCGCTTTTTCGTTTGATAAATAATTGGAATGAAAACAACAGAGCAAGATTGTTTCTGCCGCTGCTCGGTATGGCAAGTCGGACTGGATCTGGCGCGAAGAGGTTGCGGATGAACAAAATTTTCTGATATGCAATACCGTGTCATTCAAGATGTACGGGCAAGAGGTGTGTACTGTGAATTATCTCCAGGCGATGGGGTCAATGCGTAAACTTTGGAAGAAAACAAAACCGCGTGTGGGTGTTGAGAGGTGCAGGAAAACAAACGTTTCTTTCCAAGAGCAATATCATGTATTTCCCGGCACGTTCAAGAACCAAAACAGATCCAATTGTTTTCTGTGTTGTCTGTCATGCTGGTCATGCTTCCTCTCGGGCTGTCGTCCAGACCTTTTTGTGTGAGTATTTCCTCTCCCCCCACTTATGCGCCGCGAGTTATTCCTGCCCCCAGCGTCGATGTGATTACATTGCTGTGCGGAACCCTGATCGTAGTAGACCCATACTTTACTTATCCTCTTATCTCTATCGTTGTCCTTGCTACCCCTGCGATATATGACAACCCTGACACTTGCTCTCGCGTCTACTGTATTCTCCCCTGCCCTTGGCCCTCGCGAATGGTCAATTGTTCCACAGACACAGCGGTACACGCCACCATCCCCCCCAGTGGCGTTCACAGTTCCATGGGACGTCTTTTATCCGTTCTACATATCGACGTCTGGCGGCACGGCATCCACACCCTCGCATAGCACTATGGACGGTTTCTGCACCGTAATTGTTTTACTTGGCCTGTCTGCGATCTGGACTTTTTCGGCGACCAGCTTCCTGTTTTAGTGTTGGCACCGTGGGAGGTGGGGAGAGAGGAGGACGTAGAACGGGATAAAGGTCGCCGTGCGGGCACATGGGTGCGGAGGTGCTACGGCCTGTTGAACATTAAATTTCTGGCGAAAGATGTTTGCGGCCTACGCCACTTTTTTATCGGGTGAGACTGTTTTGGTGATGTATTATCTTCAGGAGAGGTGGACGACCGTCCTCCCCATAAACGAAAGAAGGAGTGCTCAAAGAGAGCTCCCACAGCAAGGAGGGGCCCGTGAATCATAGCGGTGCCCCCTACCAAACGGCAATCTTGCCAGTCTGCGTGACACCAAATCATCCAGCACATGTATCCAACACCAATGTTCGCAGACCCACGAACACCCTCCCTGGTTCTTCGTGCAAGTGACTAACCATCAATCGGGCAAGAACCCCCCTGGATACATCAGAAAATACCAACATGTTGAAGTATGGAGGGGAAACCGGGCGTCTGGGGAAAACCCCTCGAAAAAAAACCTACCACCACAAAAAGCCGTCGCTATCACAGCGGATCACAACGCGCACTAACTAGAAAGGCCAAGGCGAAGAGAAGAACGCGAGGAACTACGTCCCCCCGGACGATGGTCTCCCAACGCCCCCTACTCCTGCCATTGGTACACAGACCGCAATAGTTATGCGCCTTTCCCCGCGTGGAAAACATGACCTCTCCCAAATGCTAGAAACTGCTACGGCTTCTCCGGAAAATTCATCAGCTTGCGCCGGTGGTACTGCAGACTGGCCCTGCTAAGGGCCTTGGTTAGGAGGTCTGGGTGTTGCTCCGTTGTCGGGACAAACTTGACTGAAATATCCCCCGACCTGAACAATCCGCGGATGAAATGGAACCTCACGTCGATGTGTTTCGTGCGACCTGAGCTGAGGGGGTTCTGCATCAACGCTTTGGCCCCCTGGTTGTCCTCAAGGACCTGGATGCTGCTACCACTGGTCTCTGGGGC